CCGAAGACTTTCCGTGGAAGTCGAGGTGCGCAAGCAGATTGGAGACGGCATGTGGACGTTCGAGCAGGAGCAGAAGCTTGCGAACATAGCTGTAAATGTGTGGCCCTTGCTTCTGGTGCTTTGGTGCGTTTTTTCAGGTCTTTTCGGACTGGCGCTCCCAGTAATGTGACTGCCGACAGCGCTTCAGGTGCGGATGACTGCCATCAAGTTGCAGGACGGAGGGCTGCCGCAACCTCATGTCTCCGGATGTCTCCGACCAAGAAGTGGCGAGAAGTAATCAAGGTGGATCCACAACCCGATCGCCCCAACATCGGAGTGTGAAGCTCTTCTCAGGTCCGAGTCTCACAGGGTTCTGTTCAGTGCATGTGACGAGCTGAGCTCCAACCAGGGAACTTGGCCTGCCCGTGAAGTACATTGTTCTGGGCAGTGCGCAGCTGCGGGCTTGGGGTGAACACGCAAGTGCGACGGATACTGATTTGAGCTGCAAGGGGTAAATATGTATGTAAGAATGTTCGTGCACGGGCCAAGTCTGCATTTCGGGCCCACGCGACATGACAGGAACTGCAAAATGGATGACACGCCAGAGGTGGTTCAGGGAATTTTCTTCCTGAGGCTCAGAAGCTCGAGTTTTCAGGAGCTTCCGAGCGTCATCGAAGCTCGAGTCTTCAGGAGCTTCAGTGCATCAGCGAAGCTCGAATTGTCGGGAGCTTCAGAGCGTCAGCGGTAGCGAAAAAACTGAAACTCTCAGGCCAGAACAAACCCAAAGCTTGAAGTCAAAACTTACCACCCGAGTTAAGGTCTTCGACCCCTATTTCAGTTGCTTGCCTTTTTAGCTTGACGTACGAAAGCTGAATTTTGCGAGGGAGCATCCCTCCTGGTTCGTAAGAAAATGAAGCTCTGAAACTTCTGAGGACTCGAGAATCGCTGACACTCTGAAGCGCTCCTGAAGACTCGAGCTTCGATGACGCTCTGGAGCTCCGGAAGACTCGAGCTTCAGAGATTCGCTGGCGCTCTGAAGCTTCTGTAGACTCGAGCTTCGAACAACTCAAAAGGGTTCCATGGGATGGGGGATGCGTGTTCGGGGCTTCCAGAATGTCTTCAGGGTCTGAGATGTCAGCGCTAAATGGGTGAAGCTTAGCGTAGTTGCTGATGCAGCAGGATAATTGTCCAACTTCGCATCCCGCAACGTAGCAAGTCCCAGCTGACCAGACCAGAATGGGCAAAGGCAGCCTGAGGCACTTGACAACTCGAATCTCGTTGGCTCTCTCACGGAAACCAGCAGTGCAATGATTGCAATTCTTAACACGCCGAGATACGAGCACAAGATCTTCGTAGCGCCTTTTGCACGACGCTGGCCAGATGCGAAGGTGCCTTGGCTGTTCACGTGTGAGCACGAGTGCCTGTGTGTCGCGCCCTTGAAGGTCTACACAGTTCCACAGCAGTGGTCTTGGCCGTTAGACCTTCCAACTGCTTTCTATGGCATTTTCTCGTCGGGCGATCTGAAGGTCCCGGAAAGGGACACCAGTAGGCCCCAAGCGTCTCCGGAGACATGCTGGATGTACATTCGCAGGATGCAGATACCGCAGCGCCATGGTCTGCAGAAATTGAGCAGCAGCTCTTCAACCCTAAGGACGCGGATAGCTGATGTAGCCTGCAATGCAGAAAGCCCCGACAGCAGCTGGCTTGCATTGCCTCGTAACAGGATCGCCTCGGATTTGGATACAGCGCATGCGAATGCGCTTTCTTCCACAAGAGGCGAGAGTAGTGTTGTTTGTAAGAGGCGTTTAGATCACGATTTGCACGAGGTCCAAAACGCTAATTTGCACGGACGCGCTGGTCTACGTGCCCGAGGCAACTGAAATGTGGGTCAGCGTTTAGCGGTCCGTGCACAACATAGATCAACTGAAGACAGCTGAAAGCAAAACAGACGTGGCCGGAGGAACCCCCAGAGGTCTTAGACAAGAACGAGCTTCGTGGCCTTTGTCTCAGTTCGTGCTTTTCTGAGTCGAGAAGCCCCGAGTGAGCTGGCTTGACTGGCTGCAGACCTCGGCAAAACAGCGGAGAACTTCATCCTCGACTTGGTCGCCCTCGTGAACTGGACGCTCGGTGAAATGAGCCTGTGCACTCGGCGAAAATTGCAGCGATGACCGGCCAGGCGGGGATCCGGGGAGACAATCAAGCAGGCCATCAAGGACAAGTTGACCAATGGGTCCTTCCTCAGGGCAGGTTCAGCTTGGCTTGTCCGCAGGAAGAAAGCTCCGGCCCGCAGCCTTCAGAGGAAGCACTCCTCAGGCGCCCATTCTGCAGCAGTGGGGGTACTGAGGGTCATTATGAGGTTGCCCATTGCTCAGCGTCCCGACGTGGAGTTCACGACGTGTTGTCGCGGGCTCTGTTCCAACAAGAATAACAAGACGACTTGACTTTACACTAAGCGGGAGTGTCTCATCTCAGTATCTCGTCATCCCCACTCGGCTGCAATAAGGTCTGGCGGTCAAGCAGGCAAGCAAGAAGCTAGATTCAACAGCATTTGTGGACCAAGCCGGGGGGCATCACCGAAAAGTTAAACCTTGGTCCGTGCCGGCACACCACCCCTGGCTGCTGAAGCCTTTATACCAAGCTCGCCCGACTGAAATCATTCAAGGTCGCCTGTGACCTTCTAAAGACCATAGCAAGCTTGGGATCAGGAAGGGGTGGCAGCGAGATGCCTTGCTTTCACTCTACTTCGGCTCCGAACTCAGACAGATTTGCATTTTTTTTGACGGGATGGTAGCGGCTGCATGTTTAATGCTGAAGACAAGCTGTGTGGGCAAAAGCAACTCCAACATGAGAGCCACCTCGGTGTTCCTGCCGGCATTCCCAAAGCATTCCGCGGCCTCCATGCACTGATGGTCATGGCATTACACGATGCTGAAGGTATACAGTCTATGCTTGACTTATAGCTGCGTCGCCTGTCGCCCACAGCAACGACGGCGAAGGTCCCGTGCAGGACCATCTGTCAAACAGTAATCTCAAATCTCCCATTGAAGACTCTAGACCCAAGACGTGCTTGTTGCAAGAAACATGACATGAGCGGAACGCGTGGCCGCAGTTGTCCCGAGGTCCCGATGGTAGAAGTATCGTCGATCCGACACAGGCCGTCATGTTGCATCTCTGTGGCGCTTCAACATCCCGACGGAAGCAGGCCTTCCGAGCCATCGCTGGGAAGTGGATCGTCGGGTTGGGATCTTATCAACCGGAGCTTTCCTTTGCTCATCTACTTCGTGTGCTTTGTCCAGGCCGGTCTGCTACTCGCTGGTCTATGGCGGTCGTCTTCGCCAGGAAGTGAAGGCTGCAGCCGGTCCGAGAGCAAGAGCGCTTGGCAGTGTTGGTGTCGAAGGAGTGGTCAGAAAGGTTGTGCCAGTGGGACGTCCAGCAGCTGGTGCCTGAAAGCTTTTGACGAGATATATTTCGCCCCTGGGTCGAGTCCTTTTGGCTTCAGGATTCTGCCGGGGCACTTCGGAGGACCCATAGGCCGGAAACTGCACAGATCTGCACAGCAAAGATCTCGCCTGGGCCTCCGAGGAGGCGGCCGGAGTGATATCCAAAGAGCCTTCGAGGTGCTGGAAGAGGGCGTCGAGGCGCATCACCTTGAAAAAAAGACATCGGGGGATGCTCCTAGCGGAAGAGACTGCATCTTTTCCGGCTGGACACGGATGATTTCCCGTGGGACTTAGTGAGTGATTAATTACATGGATCTTCCCGTTGCTACCACTCACCATTGCTGCTGCGCTGCTGCTCCTACCTGTCACCGGAGCCCCCTCAACAGGCCGGCAAACAAACGCGAGACAAATTCCAATCAGCCGTCTCCCCTTTGGTGGCATGACGGGCTGTTGCTTGGTGGATGTGATCGGTGTATAGGTTATGAGGACAATGACGACTACTCCTGACAACAATGTCACTGGTGTAGGTTTGGATACGGAATCCTGCATTTCCTCACTTGAAGCATTCCTGCATAGTATCTTCCCAGTTTCCGCATTGCCGTAGAACACAAGTTCAGAGTCCAGAATCTGCGTGTGATATGGACGTCTGCGTTGAATGTTGAAATGTGCCGTGCATTTTTGTTGCATTTCCTTTAACTGCTCTTGTTGTCTGTGTAGTTGGAGTTACTCGGCATGTTATTGATGGTGTGTTCGGTTTGTGGTGCAAGCCTTAAACTATGCTGGTGGCTTGAAAGGCTTTCCGGTTTCAAGGAGTAAAGTAACATCATGTAACATCACCAGACGGCCCTGCCGTGAAAGTACATAAGACAGATAGTCGCCACATCATCACACATCTCCTCGCGTCGTCTCCTAGCACAGCGACGAGATTGATATCATACTCGACTGGTGAATGCTCGACCGGTGACTCTGAAGCCTCGGAGGACTTAAGCTAACCTATCCTTCTGCGGCACACGTGCTTGCAGGCCACGGAGAAACCAGAAGTTGAACTGCCTTGGCCGTTTCCTCAACCTGTCCGCTATCCTTCTGAGGCCATTCACTGACGGCAGTTGCTTTCGCCCTGAGCTGTCTGGAGTTCACCTCCGGACTGACAGGACGCGAAGCTGCTGACGGATATCCGAGGTGTGCTTCAAGCCCTGAAGGTGATATGACTTTGTCCTTGTAAGGTAATGCCATTATTCCTCATTTTCCATTTGTTCGTCTCTTCAACGGAAGAGCCCAAGCTGTGCATGACTGCACTGGGCGTGTCCAGCAGACAGAGCAGCATTACAATGCACTTGGAAAGATAGCTTCGTAGATGCAGGAGCACTGCGTGACGCCCGGTGCCAAAGTTTTCGTCGCGCACGGACATCACGCAGTAGCTTCGCTCATCGACGAGCGAAAGTGGGCGCGTGTTGTTCAACATCTCACCCTAAAGACCACGTGCCAGAGACAGTGATTGCTTGCAAAGCGCAAGTCCTGCCGAGCCTGTGCTTGTCATCAGCAGTGTTCGAACGATTGCATCGTGCAGTCGCAAAACTTCAGGAGATTGCGCGACTGCAATCGGCTCGTGGTAGCCGCCGCCGCAGCCTCAGTTCGTGGAGGCTTGACTTTCAGCAGCGATTTCGAGGGTCCTTTGTGCTTGACTCCGTGACAGGTCAGCAGCGTGCACGTGACGAGAGACAAACGATTGGCTTGGGTCTTACAGGTCAGGAAAGCCCGACAGGACACTGCAGGCTGCAGCAAGAGCATGCATGCAGAAAGTCATGGACGACAGATGCCGTTGATCGCGAGGTCTGGTGGGTTATACCAATGTTGGAAAGAGCGCAGCGAGGGCCTTGTTTTCAAAGAGTTTTGTGCAAGTCGCAATGGGAGATCATGCTTAGATCGTCAATCGTCTCACAAGCTCCGATCTCCTCGTGGAGGCTTCGCAGCTTTGCGTATCTAGGGCCCTGGACGGCTGCTATGTGTCAGGACGGTGTTTTCGTAACCCTGGATGTGGCATCCCGTCGCTGCGTGCTGTTAGACTCTCAGGCTCTGTGCTTTTGTGCAGGTGGTTGCCAGTTTGCCACGCTTGCATAATGGAACGCGATGCAGAGGCCATCTGGCCGGGAGTGCTACGTGTTGGACTCCGTCGGCTTGATTCAGGCATGTCTTTGTCACAGACCTGCAGCTCGTGGGTTCATGCGACCCTTCCTAAGCTGCTGCCAGGGCTTGCCGATTAATGTTTGTGAAGCCGTACAGGCGACCGTGCAGGATGGCCCAGAGTGACACAGTGACACATGCTTCGTCAGGCTTGCAGACAGATCAAGACTGTCAGGAGATGCATGAAGCAGATGTGGTTCTGCACGTGCGGGATATTGCACATCCTGCCCGAGAGGACTTTGGACTTTGGAGTCTCAGTACCTCTGAAGATGGTTGGATGCTGTAATAATGCTGCTGCGATAGATGAAAGGGAGAGTATCAGAGCCTGCCAAAAGAACATCGGGAAAGTGCTTGTCTGATCTTGAGTGATGCAAGCTAGCTGCAGGGGTCTACAAGATTCCGTGAGTCAGATTGAGGGGGTTTCCATGCAAGTTACTTCAAGTGATTGTGGCAGGCACGGCCAATAGTTCACATCTGGAGGAGCAGGCTGAGTTGGTGCGTGAGGTGCTGGCAGATGCGAAGATAGACATGGACAGGGTCGTCGAGGCGATCTGGAGAGCGCTTGACTCAACCTTGCGGCCCTGGCACTTTCAGAGGTTTGGAACAAAGCAGACCTAGTGATGCAGAAGGAGGCGAAGAGGGCGAAGAGGACGTCTTGAGATGTTCCAGCTCTCGAGCTGCAGGTGCGCCACCTCCATTATCTGCACCAACAGAAGGCCTTTGCGAATAGAAAAAACAGAGCTGCGAGAAAGAAAAAAATGTTGAGGACCCAACGCCAGTTTACACAGTCAGCGCCCTGACAGGCGCTGCAGCAGCACTCGTGAGTAGAGCCTTCAGTGTGCACACTGCCTCTTCTGAAGGCTCCGGTTTCCCCAAACTCTTGGATGGCTTGCAGAAAATGATGGAGGAACGTCCAACAGGGCGGATAACAGTTCGCTGCAGTCAAGAACAGCCGCAGGACTTGGCAATCAAAGCTGTGCCGGGTTCTGGGTTTCCTTGCCGCCCTCTTGGGGATTTCCTTGAGCTCTGGATTTGGCATTTGGCAAAGGCCTGGTTTCCAGTCCTCCACCGCTGTTCAGGCTGGAAGTCGGCTGCAGGATATACTGCACTTAATCTGGGTAACGTAGGGCAGCGCACGCTGTGGCTCTGCGAAGGTTCCACAAAGCGGATGGTGCACTGATGCGGGCTCAGGAAGCCACAACAGTCTGTTTAGCCTTGCTTCGGTTAACCTTGAAATGATAGACCTGCTGGTCTTGGTTAGCTTGATTGTCTCGTGTGCTCATGAGACAGAAGCCTCGTGTGGATTCTGCCTCTCAAGGTTCGGATGCCGCAAGATCTGTCCAAGAGTCAGGTTCAAACCCCGCGTCTTCACTATGCTGTATGCTGGTAGATATTGGCAAAGAATCTGGCAGGGCTGTGCGTAGCTTTAGAGGCTAAAAGCCGGCTGTTGCTTGTCTTGGTAGGACGGTGAGACTGAGAGGGCCAACATGCGCGTCAGGCTTCCGATCTGTGGGCTTTCCTCCACAGCGACGCAGCGAGCGACCTAGTGGCAGACTTTCGCAGATGGGGAAGGGGGTGTTCTTCTTTTCAAGTGCTGCCTGAAGCCCCATGGCTGTGCTTTCAGTGCAACGATGTCGAGATGCAAACGTGTGAGGCTGCAGATACATCAGTCAACACTGATGAGGCACGCCCGTCTATTCGGTTCTCCTGCTATCATTATCGCACTCTGGCAGGTCACAGGAGAAGTCCTGGTCACGGTCCGAATGAGCGATTCTGCAAGAGCCAGGCTTCGAAGAAGCATATCTCTGGCGGTGCGACTTCACAGCTGCAAGCCGGTGCGCCAGGTTTTTGAAGAGATTCGGACCTGGCATGCTCACCTGAGTAGCTGAATCGCAGCCAGTAACTCAGCATGCTCAGTAACTTCAATCGGCATTGCTGAAGGGAACACGTAATTTGACACGCATCGAGCAGGGAAGCCACCAAATCAATCAAGCACTTTGCAGGATGTATTCGTTTGATTCAGGTTGGATGCCGGGGACTACGTCATGGGGACGGAGACAAGGAAAGTCGACAAGCTCTTTGACGCCGAAACGAAGCAGGATGGACGCAGCCTGCAGCGGCTGCGGCTTGACCAATGCTCCCCCGGGATGGGCACTCAGCCGCTCAGCCTGCAGTCACGGTGCAGAACAGCGCCTGAGTTTTCAAGGAGTCCTTGCAGATTGGAGCAAGCTGGGACGGCGAGGAGGACCTTGACTGCGACATTGCGATCCAGCGACCTAGACCGGATCGACAGGGTCCGGACCTTGGTCGGGGTTTGCTCATGATTGCTCTACCGGGTGACCTACAATTCCAGAAGGAGTTTTCGAGGTAGGGATTTGTGTCTGCTTTCCTCGCGGACATGGTGACTTGAGTTAGCCCGGGTAAGGACGACACTGGCTGAAGCTCTGAGCAGCTGCATTGGACACAGACCAAAATAAAGAGGTGATGGCCTCCCAGAGGTAGCCACCCTGTAGCATTGCGCCGAAAACGTCGTGGCTCACTGCATCCGCATCAGCCGTACGAGGAGCCCTGAGTTGGCCATGCCACGGCAAAAAAGGGAAGCGCCAAGAGCTTCCCATTCTGCGTTGGCAGATCCGAGAGTGTGAGGACCTGTGAGGACCACGACCCTCCTCCATGCAGCGCTTGCCTGGCTTGCCGTATTCTAGGCCCTTTCAAGATCCACTTGGACACACCGAGTGGGATGCCCCGTTATCTTGGAAAATCTTGCAGTCTTGTAGGACTTCCCCATAGCTTGCCTTTGCCGCCTTCCAGCACCCTCTGCGATGCTTCCGGTGGAATTTTCCCTCAACATTCCGCATTCCAGTCCCCACTCAGCCCTTATGTAGCCTCCTGACCTTGCCGTACGTTCGGGAATAATGTCGCAAGCAGTTTGGCTCGTCTCAGTCTAGTGTTGGCCAACAGCTGAAACCTTTTGCAGATGGAGTGAGACCGCCCGCTTGAAAGCTGAACGAGTGGAAGCCGTGGTCGGACACGGTCAAAGATGATGACGATGCTCGTGTCCAGTAATGCCGCTCTGCCAGCTGCAGGTTCTAGTAACATGCTTCCACCTTTGGATTCGTGCCGCCGTTTTACAGACGGCTGCCGATGACTGCCCTGTGCCTGTCCAAGTACTCGTGAAAGATTCCGCAAGCACACACAGACTGCGTTTTGGTGCTTCTGGGCCGGATCAAGACTCGACATGCGAAGTCTCCTGGATTTCACACGAGCTCTTTAGTCTGGACCGAGAAGCTGGCACAGAGGGTGTCCGCACAGAGGCACTGGATTCGGAAATTCTTTCACAGGACTTCGTTTTGACAGACGCGCTGAAGCGGGTCCCTTTTGCTGGACGGAGGGGTCGCCTGGCCTTTCTCGAGAGAATTCTACCGATGCCCCGCCTGGATAACGAACAGCTCGATTCCATTCTGGCTGGCAAAGAACTTCTGATATCAGTGATGTTGCCACGTAAGAATTCAAAAGCATGGTCTGATATGCAAACTCGCACAATTGCTCAGCAGGCGGCGGCGGTTTTACCGGACCACACTTTTCTTGATGATGGAATGGCAGTGACTTACGAGCAGGCTTTTGTACCATACCGCTTTTCTTTGATCGTCGACGACGACAACGAAACGGTGTCACAGGCATTTGTTCATTGCATTGGCTGGGGGACCATACCATTGTTCAATGGCTTTTCGCACATGGTTGCGATGCTGCCGCGCATTGTCGTGCCGTGGGACCCGATCTCTTTCCGCATGGAGGCGTTGCTTTCTTTCCTGCCCGGGATCAACTACGACATAGCTTCGCTTTGGCAGCAGCATCGTCTGGTCCAGGACCTAAGCAGAATCGAGCATGTCACTGGCGCTCCCGCCCCTCCCTGCTCCCTCTACTCCCGCCCTTGCTTCGCTCTAGCTCTTGCTTGCTCTCTCTCTCTCTCTCTCTCTCCTGCGCTTCCTCTCCGATTCAGCGCTCTCAGGACCAGCTGCTTTACAGGTACAGCCGTGGGTTCAACGATTCGTTGAAAGCAGCCGCCTGCCATCTGTGTGCCTACCAGCAGACCAGTCGAGAGGACAACCCACTGCGGCTATGCGTGGCTAGTTGTTGCTTCATGTTGTCTTGAATGTCACTAGATGTCATTCGACCCTTGTTGTCCACTCCATTCTGTCTGGCCCTTCTGGCCAGGATGACGCGAAATCCCTTGATGATGACGGGCTCCTGCCTTTGATGTTCGTTGGAGTGTACTCGGCACAAGATAACTCTCGGAAGCGAGATGCCATCCGGAAAACTTGGGCACAGGCAGTGCGCACGCAGGGTTTTGATCTCAAGTTCTTCTTGGGAAGGCCGAGGCTGAGTCCACGCCTTGTACCTTTGCAGGAAGAAATGGCAAAGCACAGGGACGTGATTCTGCTTGATGTTGAAGAAGGATATAAGTGGAACTCGGTGAAAGGATTGATGTTTTTGGAGTGGTGTGCCCAGAATGTGTTGGCTCGCTTCATTGTCAAAGCCGATGATGACATCTACCTTCGTCCAGACCCTCTGCTATTCTTGCTGCAGAGTCGGCCTTCGTATGGATACATTTGGGGATACTTTGACTACTTCAGTCCTGTGCCCAAGGATGAGGATCATGCGTTCTATAATCCTGATGACATCTACCCTTTTGAAATCTTCCCTCCATATGCAAGAGGTCTGTTGCGCGTGTTGTCGGCAGATGTAGTTCTGGCGCTTGCTCGAATGAGCTTTGCTGGCAAGCTTCCACTGGTCTATGGAGATGATCCATGTTTTGGGGTCCACTTGCGATATCTTCGGGATGACAAGTTGGGCTTGCCCATGCTCACCCTGGATGATCGGGACTCGTACAGAGTCTTCGCAATGGAGCCGAGCTGCAATCCTGCCCTCTGGTCGCACGCAACGCGGCGATCTTGGGTCGTTCACCACGTATCGCCCGAGCAAATCTTTTGCATGTGGACTGCTGATGCCAGTGCTGGCCTCTACAAGCAGGATGGGCCAGGCAATGTGCAGCTTGCTCCAGAAGCCATTCCGCTGAGCATAGCCGCTGCGAGCGTTGCAACACAAGATCGACTTGCCTTTGAAGAGCCGTGCCTCAGCTACCCTGATACTTGCTGATAGATGCGGCAGGTTCAGGTATTCGTACACTGCATATTCGAGTGCCTCGGTCTTATCTCAGCATGTTAGCTGTCACAGGCCGCCTATGCCGGATCTTTGCAAATGCTTGGAGTTTGGGCCACTGGCCTCAGAGCTATCCACCCGGCGGGACAAGATCAACGCTTCAAGGAGCTGGGGGGTGGGCGGGGCGTTGCAGAGGAGTGACATGAGAGACTTGGCGCTTCGGTCATGTGCCCTCAGGACCTACATGACGTGGGGCCATCCCGGTCTCTTGGAAAAGGAGATGCAGCAATGATTGCACGAGTTTCTCTCATATTCTCCGACACCGCCGCTGGATAACAATCGGATGAGTCTGTGTGCTGTGTGGCATCCTCGAGTATGCCCGCTTGTTATGTTCCTGACTGAGAAGCGAGACCCCGAGATGTTTTATGTAGGTGGTTCCGAAGAAACCCAGTAAACGAAGGAGAAGTTTGTTCATTCCGAACGATTCTGGATAGAGCACCGCGTTTGGTGTTTGTGCTTCTCAGCCGTGCCGGGGTTGCCATCGTCCATGCTGGTGACACTGAGGAGGCGAAGCCAAGTTAGGACGTTTCGGAGAGGCGGGGTGCAATTCTAGCCTCCTTTGGATAAGCAAGAACAAGACTGCTGCAGCCGACCCGCAATTGCAATGCGCTGACACGCTAGTCTTCTTGTTTTGCTATGGCCAGTAAGTCGGCGCATCGGTAACTCGACGAAAGATGTCATCGTTGTTCCTTCAGCTTTCTACGTTCAAGCGTCCACGACACAAGCATCAGCATGATGCGGTGGCAGACTGTCTCATGGATCTTCAGTACATCCTGCCGACGCCTTACACCCCCAGCTGCTCTTTTGAGCAAGTTGCTAGGTCTGGTTTAGAGTACTTCAGTCGACGGTAGAGCCATTTGAGCCCGGAGCGTGCTTCTCCGATGCGCTTGTGGGGTTCACCGTGCGCCATGCTCAGTTTTCGGCCTCACTTACCAGGCTAGTTGGAACTGCGGCACAGCGAGGTGATGATCGACAGCTTGTTCCTGATTTCCGCCTCGGGAAACTATCTTGTGGAGAGGCGGCAACTAGCAGTGTAAGGCTTGACATTGACTGAATGTGAATGCATCTGCGAAGACCTTGCCCGACCTGTTGAGTCGCTGACCCTCGCCTCAGAAAGTCCGAAGCCAGCAGGCTGCCATTCTCCGACCTTTGCTGTCCCCTTCGATATCCTTTTGATTCGCAATGCAGTCTTTGGGTCTGTGTTTCTTTTGCGCACGGGCTCTCTCTCGTTGTTACCTTTGTAGCACTTGCCAACCTGCTTCTTCTGACTGGGTTTGGTTTGGATGGTTCGGCCAGCTTTGTCTTGGAGGCATTTTTGTGGCCCAACACCACGATTGGTCTGTGGATGGCTCAGTTCCATCTTATGGCATGGTCATGCGCATTGCTGGGCAGCTGAGGCGAGCCATTAGTTGAGAAACTGCGCGGTGGTGAGAAGCCCGAAGCCTTACCGCCAGTGGAATCCTCAGAGTCTCCTTGTGAGTGGCTCGTATTCATAGACATCAATCTGCTATGCGGGCCTAGGTCTCTCTAAACACACACAGGCGGCGCGTGCGCAGAGGGAGAGACAGCCTTGACAGCGATGTTGCATGCAGCGACAGCTGTTGCGGTCGGGTTGGGGGTTCTGGTTTATGTGTTCGGGTACAGAGGTTCTGGTTGAAGCAGCAGGGAACCGGAGCTTCGGGCCACGGCGATTTCCAGTCCGCACTGTCGAAACTCTGCTGGGCTTTGTGCAAGTCAAATGCCGACAAGCAATCCGGCTGTCGGCCCACGCGCCAGTGCAATGCCTTGTGAGTCGGAGAGCTCCGACCTCGCAAAAGTATGTCGCGCTGCCGTTCGCAATAGTTGTGTTGATGTTTGCGGTGTTTTTTGTGCAGCTGCTGCTCCTGCTGCGGCTTTTTGTGCTGTTATTGCTGCTTGCATTATTGCTGCCATTTGCTGTATGCGGCAAGGGTGGTCCTTTAGAAGGGGGAAGCAACCAGTTACAGAAAGGCAATGGCGAGCCATGACGGGGATCTCCACACTAGATGACCGGGGATGCAGTCACTGCCCGTGTTGGCCAGCGCAGCGCTTAGGCTGCTTAGACCAAGTGGTGAAGACTTGGATGCGCTTGAACGGTTGTGGTATTGGGAATTGAACTCCATCCATCTAGGTCTACCCTCCGCAATCCTCCATCCATCTATTTTTGGCATTGGATGGAACGCCGGTGTTTTTTTGCTGTATTTTGAGCTGTGACACACATTTGCATTTGCAGATCTCGCAGATGAGGTGTTCAGTGCGAACAGGAAGAACGTGCTGATCCATGTGCTTCGCGCTAGGAGCCAAGTCCAAGAGGTTTTCCGAGATCGCACACATCCAGTTGTTGCGCGCAGAATTGAGCTGGTTGAGATGGCTAACTTTGCGCTTCTGATGTCAATTTCGGTTCAGCATGGACCTACAATCTAGAGCCCAAAGTCACGACAAGACAAAAATGCCGTGGAATGTGCTGCAATGCAAAGCGATACAAAGCCTTAGATATCATTGGACTAATCACTAAAGTTGCGAACGGACTTCCTCAGTGCGATGGTCGCCGGGGGCGACGCCAGAAGAAAAGTTGCCGGGGCAACAGCTTGCACCTTAGTGAGTGCCGCGTGTCAGTGCAAAGACCTGACATCTATGGTGATCGATGTGATTCTTGAATGAGGCTTGCAAAGAAACGAGCCCTGACGATTCCGGCAGTGATCGAGAGCATTCTCGAAGTGTTGCAGGTTTGGCCTTCCGAAGAGCCACTCGTTTGCAACAAGTGCCCGCCTCTCCGCTCGGTTCGGGGAGTCATAATTATTGGATTTCGGCCGTTTCGTCCATGGTATATCCATGCTGTGCGGTTTCACACACGGAGTTTTGAAGCAGCATCCACGAGAGCTTCACTTTACAGTGGATCAGCACATACTGACGAAGGCATGGCGCGACATGGCTCGCTCGTTGGACAGCGTCACTCGCGCGGGCCAAAGGCGGGATTGGCTTCCTCCTGTAGTCTGCAGGCTGCCTTGCGTTTGAAGTGTTCGATGCCAGTCTCTTTCACATCGGAATGCGCGTGCTTGGCCCCTGTTTGGTGGTCATGGCCCTGTGCTTGAAAGGCCGGAGCTGCTTGAAATTCACCCTTGGATTCAAATTGCGTTTGCAATCGACTGCCCTGCAGGCTTTGTGACATACACGTACTTTTGGCATGGGCGGCCAATCCTCCAAGAAAGAGCCGGATTTATTGGAAGCTCGCTTTTGTCCTTCCTGGGTGTGTTTTTGCTTGCCAATGCGTTGCTTGCCTCAGTTGGTGCCTTCGCTAGTCTCATGTATGGCCAGACTTAGACCATCCACATGTAGGGGTGTATGCACAAGTTTGGAGGTTGTACAACTACTTCAAGGTGCGACTGTTGAATGGTGCTGCATGTGCTCATTTTGTGCCCCGTAGCTGATCGTTGCTGCCTGCGCACTTTTGCTTGCACCGGAGGCCGTGTTTACCCCAGCGGGCCTGCCACCAGAATTTGAGAAGGATGCTGCATGCAGACCATGCGTGTTCTTGTTGCGCTTTCATTGAGATGTCACATCTCTATAGAGCCTCAATCCGAGAATGCGCTGCCATCAGCACTGAAGCCTGTATTGTGCAGGCCAAAGTGTCATTGATGGAATCCTCCGAGAATCCTGAAGTCGTGCCGAGGCTGCTGTTTCTGTGACCCAGAGTTGCATTTGTTGAGAATAATGCCGTTTGCTCTGCAGGAAATGCCCCAAATGTGCTTGCTTGAAGCCGCCGCGAGCACACCACTGCAGCATTTGCGGGGTGTGCGTCCTGAAGATGGACCATCACTGTCCGTGCCACGGCGTTCAAGCGCTGCACCAGTGCTCCGTCACGAGCGGCTCTGAACATGGTCTAGCACAAGTTTGACCAAGGTGGATTAATAATTGCGTTGGTATCTTGGCATGCAGCCACTATCATGTTTTCAAGACTGCCTGGCTCGCTGGAACACCCGTTGTTGTGTTTAGCGTAGCGCTGTGCTTTGGCCCTTTCTTCCCCGGCGAATTCCAGGTTTTGGAAACTACAGATACTTCTGCCTCTTTCTGTTATTCTTGGCCATGGCTTGCCTCTTCATCGTATGCGTGTTTGGCTTGCACTCGATGGCATCGTCATAGCAGAGTATCCACAGCAATGGAGCTCATCAACCGTCCGAGGTGTTCGGTACCTTTTTCTATGACATAATCTTCACTTGGGCTCGGCAGGGCACGCGAGTCTTTCGCCAATGCATTGTGACTTCTTTCATGAGCCGTGGCATATGTTTGCGGCTGTGCTGTGCTCATCTGAGACTTCGAGCGAACTGTAATTGTAATTGCATGGTATTGCATGGCCAACAAGTGTGCTTACAACGGGCTTGTCATCCAAGGATATGCGCTTCGATTCTAGCAGCGGTTTGCTTCCTTGGAGGATTCCATACCTTTCTGGTCACAGACTTACTAAACTGCGGATTTGTGTGCAGCACATGGGTTTTGCTCGCGTGCCCATGACGGGTGCGCGGACCAGGTGATGACCAATCAAACCACGATCGAGTTCCAGATCAACATGATGAGACGGCGAGAAAGTAGATATAATGGCGAGTCTATCTGTTGCAATGTTTTCCCGCACATCAACTTGACCTGCCAGCCGCATGCCGTAGCTGGCTCTGCAGATAGGTGGTGCTCATGCTTGCCAAGCAAGGTTCTTCCGAAATCCCTACGACATGGGTCGCAGTCGAAACTGTCAAGAAGTCTTCGGAGTGGGTCTCAGCCAGACTGATGATTGCGCAGGTGCAAGACTGCTGTTGGCCACAGCACAGTTCGCAGAGTAGGCATTCAGTTCCTCAATGAAGGTTCACCTAAAATTGTCAGGGGCGATTGCAGACATCACAGCTTCGCGCGAGACACCCCGGAACCATGAACAAGATTATTCGATAGCAGAGAGAAGAAGCGAGAGAGAGAGAGAGAGAGAGAGAGAGAGAGAGAGAGAAGCCCCAGAACATTGGGGGGCCCCATGGGCCGGGGAGCCTGACCAGCTCCTCTAACCCGAAGGAAGAGAAGAGAGAGAGAGAGAGAGAGAGAGAGAGAGATGTGCGCAAGGGGGGCAACCCTCTTGCCCATAACCCTGCCGAAAGAAAAGAGGTGGGCAAGGGGGTTCACCCCTCTTGTCCTTAACCCTGCCGAAAGAAAGAGAGAGGTGGGCGCCTAGAGCGCTCGGGCGAGGGGGGCAACCCCTGAGCCCGGAGCCCTGGCGAAAGAAAGGTACTGTACTGCCTAGGTTCGTTTCATACGCTGTTTGCCTTACGATGTTTGTCCTGATATGTGTCCTGCAATGTCACAAGCTGTGCATCCGCCTGTAGTTGTTTCTGGGGAACCCTGGAAGACCTGTATCATGCCCGCGAGGTCTCTCGGGTCCTGGTGTTAGTAGGGGTGTTTTCCGGGGGATGGGTACTACAGGCTCATACAGGGGAACAGGAAATTTTAACTTTCGGAAGGGGCCGCTCAAACATGCTGACGCGCGCCATGTGGGCCAGGGGTGTTGTCCTCCCATACCCCCAGCAAGCAAGCAAGCAAGCAAGCAAGCAAGCAAAAGACGTAGGGGAGGTGAGAGGTTGACCTGAGGCTGTTCACCTGGGGGAGCCTGCACACTTTTCCCAGCTGTGCTTGAGTCCTGTGCCCTACGCCCATTTTCTCTCACTCTCAAGAGACCCGAGGGTTTTCCATTTCTCCAGAACCTGACTTCGGGGGTGGCCCGCCAGTAGGGGGAATGGCCCCCTTTCTGCATGTGTGTATCGGCTTTCCAGCCGAAGCCCCGGACTCTTGCTGTATCATGAACGTTTCCGCGAATGTGTGTCATTTCTTACTCTTTGGGTTCCGGTCGTGCCATTCTTGTGCAATGCCGCCGCTTAGAAACAAACCATTCGTGGGAGTTCACATTCTTTTGATGATCTTCTGATGATAACCCGAAATAAATACATTAGTTGTTACTGCTGTCATGGGCCGGTTGTTGAGCCTTTTTGGAAATCGGGGGACCTCACACTCATGACAACCACGCACCTCTCGGACTTGTGTCACTTTCTCCTTATTGTTTCTACAGCTGTTGCTCGTAATCAGAGTCCGGGGGAATGTAGTTGAATTCAGGGTGTCCATGCAGGATGACACACCGGGGGACCCTTTCCCCCTTTTATTTATTTTAGTTATAAAATCAAGGGTACACGTGGTCCGAAACCGGTGTGTAAAGTATCACAGTCCCTTCAACAAACCCCACAAAAACGGGGGACCTGAGCGGCCAGTGGGCTTAAGACGCTCCCTATGCCTTGTGCGAAGAAGAGAGAGAAAGAGAGCCGACGCCCCCCAAAGCCCCACAGAACATGGGGGCCTAAGGGCCGGGGGGACTAACATGCCCCTTTAACCCGAAGGAAGGAGAGAGAGAGAGAGAGAGAGAGAGAGAGAGAGAGACCCTGCCGAGGACCGCAGGTGCGCGCTCGCGCGCCAGGGGAGGGGTTGTCCGCCCCGTTCCTCCGGCCTGGTAGAGAGAAAGAGAGAGAGACAGAGAGACAGAGAGAGAGAGAGAAGCCTAGACACGCCAGCTTTACTTCGGTCGGTACCTTACCTGTGTGGAGTTTGTGTGTAATCTTGGCAGGTGTGTGGCAACAGGCAGTTTGCAACCAGTACAGGGGAGCGTTCTTTTCGTATAGCCGAGACTTTTTACGGCAAAACTGTAGAGGGGAATCATAGACACCAGTGACACGCGGGTGCGCGCTCGCGCGCGGGGGTCGGGGTTGAACGCTCCCCGGCTCCGCTTTCCCCGGAGAGAGGGAGAGAGAGAGAGAGAGGTAGCCATTTTGGCTCAAGTGCTACACCTGTGCTTGGGGGCCTGTGCCGC